TAAAATTTTAAAATATTTTGGGTCAAATCACCAACCAGTTTGCATCAGTGTTTTAAGAGCCGGCCGAATAAGATTAAGGATGTTTGGTAACATTTATAAGTGTTTTAATTTTTTGATATTATTTATATTTTGTAAATTAAAATTTTTTTAAAAAAATTTTATATTTTTTTTAATTTTAAAAAGATTTTAAATAATAAATTTTGAAAAATTTTAAATTTTTATTTTTTATAAATTTTTTTATTTTTAAAATCAACTTTTAAATTTTTTAATAAAAATTTAAATTTATGAATTATAAATAATATTAAAAAATTAAAAACTCTAAAAACACCACTAAACAAGCCTTAATCTTATAAAACCCAAAAAACTGGCGACTTGGTTAATTGACCAGTTCTTTTTTATTTTTAGTTAAAAAGTGAAACGCTCTAGTGCTAGGTTCGAACACTTGCCCTCAATATTAGAGGTAAGTGACTTGCCGTTTTGATGTTGTTGCCTCAGCTGCAAAGGTTTTCCTAGAATAGATATTTATTATATGTTAAATATTATAAAAAGGGCTAACACGACTAGAACTTCCCACCTATCAAATATCTATGAGTGCGCTTGCCATATGCATACCATGCAAAAAAAAATTTATTTATATAAAAGTTTTTTTAATCTATGTCTTAATGATATTTTTTATTATAAATGTATATAAAAAAATATTAAAACTGATATTGACCTTAGTATAAGTGTTAAATAGATAAATTTAATTGAATAATTAATAAATTAAAAATCAATTTTTATTTTTTAAATATAAATTTATGATTAAAAAATATATTTATTACTCTTAACTTGTATTTTTAAAAAAATCTTTTATATAATTTATAAAGAAGTTTATTCATGACATCTTTTGCTTAGACCAAATGACTTAACCAATTTAATTGGAACTAGAGGTCATAATGAGTTGACCTTCAACTTGGGTTTAAAAACGTTGGTTTGCATTGCCCAATTAAAAAAAAAAAGTTTGCGGCAAAAATATTTTGAATTTATCCTTAAAATCACCAACTTGTAGTGTATTATTATCTACTAATTTCCCAACCACAACACCAGAGCTTATATATGCTTTTAAAGTTTTAAATATCTGGGTATCACCGATGTTTAAGGCATTGGTTTCTTCATCACCAATGTATTGGTGATGGGTGGTTTTCTAGTCAACTTCTTCTTCTTCTACTTGATTCTTTTATATCATACAGCAATACTACTATATTAATCGATATTACTAAAGATTTACCTAAACAAATCATACCAGTTAATGATATGCAAATAATTTATTTATACAACTTTTACATACCATTAAATAAAATGATACATATAATATTACAAGTCATAAATAGAGTAAAAAAATCAATAATTAAATAATTTATAAGATTGTAATAATAAAAAAAGGTATGCAAAAATTGTTCCTAAATGATTTTCCAATCATAGCTGCTACGAACATACCATATATATTCTGTAAGTACATTGCACCCATCTAGGTTAGCTTTTATTCGATATTCCCTGTACTGGGATTTTTGAAATACTGAAATTAGAATGAAAGCAAAAAAAGGCAAATCATTGAATTTGCCTTGAATTAGAGATTATTTTCTTTTCAAGGGGAAGCTTTTATGGAAAGGTAATAAAAACAAAACAATCCAAGCAATGGATTTCTTGTGAATTTAAGAGATTTACTTCCCAATAACAGCATCAGATTGTCAAATATAGTTGTCTTGACATAAAAGGAGAATTGACTGAATTATTACTAGTCAACAATACAATTAACTCCTGTATCCATTTAGATTTTTCCTATTTACTAGATTTTCTTGCATAAATAGGGTACTGTGCTCTCTTGTTCAACATGCATCTTACTAAGTTTTCTCTTACAAATCCTAGATTATGATAAGCACTGCCTTCAAATTGAGTTCATATTAGGTTCTTGTTAGTAGAAGAAGAAGGCATGAAGAAGTTGAAGAAGAAGAAATGTGACAAAAAGTCTTTCTGCATCGGATTAGTGATTTACCAGATCAACAAGTGTTTAATGTCTACAGACTATCTATGGTATATTTCAAATTTCTATTAATTCTTTCTTTTAAGTTACCCGAAATCCCGTATGTATCTTCAAAATTTTCTAAAATGATTTACCAGATTTAAGTTGGCCTAGTTATTGAACCAAATCTTTTTTTTTTTTTTTAATTCCGTTGCATTTTTATATATAATTTTAAGGATAATATGCGCTTAGCTAGCCTAGATCACAACATTTCCCACACTTGTCTTTCTATTCTCACAATAAACCACTTTCCTCTTTCTCTTCTTCTACATCAATTATATGGAAACTTAATTTTATAGATTTTGGATGTTATCTTGGAGTAAGCATATCTAGGATTACCCGGCGGCTGGTATTCAGTGTTACTATAGATCCGATGACACTTTCCCTCTTGATCCTCCCTCTAGACTGAAAATCATGTTCTTCATTGAAAAAAAGACAATGTTCATCAGATTTTATTAGAGCTTAAAGGTCAATAATCAATTTAGAGCACAAAAGAATGTATCTATGCAAATAAAATGAAGAAATGATGATAAACAATCTCTTCTTTACATCTTAAGTAGTCTGATTTTTATCCGGCGGCTTAACCTCTTTTTCTTTGGGTGGCAGAAGAAACAGCGCGCAAGCTTTGTTCTAGTGGTCTTTGACAGAAAGATCTACGGGGAAAGATGCAGCTAGCTGTTTCAAAAAGTCCTAAACAAAGATAAGGTGAGATATCTATTAAATCATTAATTCAGTCCACTATGTAGATTTATTATTGGTATGCTAGTTTTGCTTCAACTGATCCAAATGTAACTGAAAAGCGAACCTTATCTGATTCTTAAGCCTAATACCTAATGGTTTTTGCTATTTGGGTTTTTACTTCTGTCTTTCAGCATTTTTAAGAGTCTTAATGTGACATATCACCCGAAGCACCAAATCC